GTCATTTTGCAAATCTCAATATCAACAATCATTTTTGAAGCAATAGCTTTCTGTAGTTTAATATTTTGGACAGTGCTTTATTCAGAGGTTGTAGGACTGACATTATGGTGGTTCAGCTCCTTCGGAGAAGTATGAACATTCTTCTCCCACATGACTTATAACCTCAGAAAACCAGTGAATTGATTCTGACCTGATGACAGTGAGTTTGAATTAGACATTGCCATGTAAAATAGAGCTTTCTCACCAGTTTTTGCAGTGTCTTTAGGATCATATCCCCTTATTTAATTTTGGCTACCAGTTTTGAATGTCTTTGTAAAATTCATTTTGACTTCTCCCAAACTGGATTGCAGATGATTTTCTTTCTTTCTTTTTTTTTTTTTTAAATAGCTCTGAATTAGTTAGATGGTTACAAACCTATCAGCTTTTAAAAGTGTCAGCATTTCCTTCATCTTTCTTTGCTGGATAAGTCCTGAAATGGAAACATTTTGGCAGAGGATGCAAGAATTAACTCAAAGACAGATTTGTTGATTTGTGCATACTTCCCATTCCTTTCTTATGTTTATGTTGGTGCTGGTCCGTGTGTTCCCATTGTTTTATCCTTTTCTTTAAGAATTGAGTACATTTGTGGCTTGCCTTAATTATTGTTTAGGCCTACTGATTTGTTGTTAGGTGCCAGTGAGTTGACTACTGAGTGGTTCTGAGTGATCTGATGCAGAGTCTACGCTATCATCACAATCTCAAATGCTCAAGCCCATTGCTGCAGTCACTGTGTCCATCCATTTTATTGAAGGTCTTTCTCTTTTTTTCTGATCTTCTACTTTCCCAGCATGTTGTCTTTTTCCAGTGACCTCCTGACAGCCTGAAGTCTTTTTCCAGGGACCTCCTGACAACATACTCAAAGTATGTGAGATGACATTTTACCATTTTTGTCCCAGCAGGGACCCTGGTTGCATTGGTTTGATCTGTTTGTTCATTTGGCAGTCCATAGTATATTAAATCCCACTGTAATTCAAAGGCATCAGTTCTTCAGTCTTCCTTACTTGTTATCCAGCTTTTCCATATGAAGGAATAAGCTTTATTTTTTTTTTTTTATTTTGTGTATGTGTGTCTCTGTACCGTCAGATCAGATCTGACTGGTACAGGAGGAGATTTTCCCTCCTTTCCCTGCAGAGCATCTGGTGGATTTGAACCATGAGTCTCTGGGATTGCAGTGCAGCTTCTTGCCACTAGGCCACCAGAGCTCCCCTAAGCCTTATTTTTTAAAAAAGAAACAAAATTTTCATAAAAACTTGATTAAAATTAAGGAGCTCAATTGATAAGTTAGCCACTTCAGTATAATTTTTAATAGTTTTTTACTATTAAATTTTATTAATTTTAATGAATATTTATAGAGATTTTTGGTTTTCATTCATTCATTGTTGCACTATTTTCTCAACCCTCCTCCCCAGTTCGTTCTTTTTTTCCCCCTCCTTAAAAGTCTGTGTTAATTGTCCAATTGCCACAGTGCTTGTCAAAGCCAGTTCTGATTAATCTCCTTTGTCAGTGTGCCCTTTGCCATTCCCTATCACTCCTGCCTGAGAGAGACTTCACCCTGATTCATAAGGTAAAGGGGATGGCATATTCTCTTAGCTACTTCCTGCTGAAAAGGGATGCTGTGGGTTTCAAGGTGAAGACCTTCTCTCA